CAAAAGCTAAATCCTAAATAAAACTCGCAATCAGAGATGAAATGTCGAAACCTTCAAAACTTCGGGTTTGAACCCTCGTTTCCCATGCACAAACGCGGAGCACTACCACTGGACTATAACGCATTTACAACCACCGCTTGCCATGAAATAGACAAATATGGATTCTGAAAAAAAAAACACCATCCTTTCCCACATTAATATAAACCCATCATGGCTGAGTTAAAGCGATTGACGGTTATAATGTATCTTTTTACGTCAAATCATCTAAATCTATAACATTACTGACTAACCGGGAATATTATTCAATTTAAGGTACTCAGTCTCGGCTATACGATGGTATATATCTTGATCATGAATTTTACCTGTCGGGTGGGTAACAATTATAATGAATTTTTGTTTCAATTATCTCAATCACTATTATTGCTTTTGCACATCAAGCTGAATAAAAACTCTCGAGTACAGTTTTATTGCTATCCACTCTATACTTCATGTTGTATTTCCCTAGACCTGCGCTACAAAACGATACGATAATGTTAAGTGTCAACTTCCTTCTTTTCCTACTTCCATAGGGATATTGGCACGAATAAATGGTTCACATTTCGGCTCAAACGGATGAAATTCATTTACTGCAATCAACGAGTGATAAGATGATTCGGTCACATGTAATGCTTCAAAAAATTCTGAAATAAGAGCCGAAATGTGAATCATTTATTCGCGGCAATGATGGTAACCTTGGTTAGCTTCATAGTTGAATATATCAACACCAATCAAGCACTACGGCTAGCTAACAATTCATTCGACTGAATAACAAAAGTGCGAATACAAACATCATTGTCTGGGTTTTAATTTCAGACTATTAGAAAACAATTATTCCGAAGCGCATTTTGAGAGATTGCTGAGAGCAATCACTGTAAACAAACCGATATGTGTTCCACAACAATGAACTCACACTTTATGGGCTTCACAACCAAAAGCTGTATCGATAGTTTCGTTTAAAACGATATTTGTGCTACAAAAAATATAACCATCAGTGTACCCAATGAAAACAAATCTTCGTGAAGAAGTGAGATATGACAACAAAACTATCACAATCAATTCCACCATCAATCAAGCTCGAAGCGTTCAACGTAAATAAGCCGAACAGTTTGACTAGATTCACTGAAAGTGGTGGATTGGTGTACAGAGCATCCCGTCGAAAATGGTGAGTGTTTATTGAGAATTGTCATTTGAATCATTAATCAATTATAAATCATTTTATTCTGGGGATTATGCATTAATTTTTATTCTGACTAAATTACCTCCGTTGTTCGTTAGCTCAAAGAGTATTTGCAACTATCTGACGTATTTTCAGATGAAACTCTTTGAGGTTACTTCAACCATTCTGTGCCTCGCGATCGTTGTAATCTCCCATGCAGGTAAAACAGTTAATGTTATTGTGGATTAATGAGACTTAAACTGATAACATTTCGATTTCATCAAATTTAACTCCATACCACTGAAATCAATTGCAAAATTCCTCCTGTGAATGATCAAGAATAACATTTTATGACCAACTCTCTCAATCAGCTTGAAATCTCCAGTTGAAATAAACAACGTGATTATCATCCGTCGCTCACATCAGAAAATTTCAGATGAATGCGGAGATATACGGACGGACTGTAAGGATTATCGACAATTGTGTCTTTCGAAGGCGCATCAAACTGAAATGCTAAGAGACTGTAGGAAAACGTGTGGTGTTTGCGACTGCAAGGATACTGCCAAAGATTGTGAGACTTTCCTCCTTGGATGTAATACGATCGAAGTTGTAGACACCATATTGAGCAGATGCATGGCAACTTGTAAGTTCTGCAATGGAGGAGCAAGCTGAACGACCAACAAGGCATCTGTTCTAAGTAAAGATTGATACGCCTTTCAATTCCTAAATAATAATCTGTTGATCATATGACTATCACAATTTCAACCTTTTCGCACAATTTCTCCACATTCTTGATTTCTTTGAAATCCACATTCTTGATTTCTTTGAAAGTCGTTGTTACTCGATGCTAACTTACAAATACCGCTGAAACGTCTTGATAAAAAAACAACAAG